GGGTTTAATATTTTTCCTAGAACTTTTTTTTTTTTTTTTTTTTTTTTTTTTTTTTTTTTTTTTTTTTTTTTTTAAAAAAAAAAAAAAAAAAAAAAAAAAAAGAAAAGAAAAAAAAGGCAGCCTGGAGTTTGATAAAAAAAACCCAAAAGCTAAAATATTAAAGTAAAATTCCAGTGTCACTGTTTAAAATAAAGGTAGAGAAGAGGGGAAGGCAGGGGAGGGCACAGACTAGAGACTATCCTGTAACAGAAGCGGAGCGTGGCTGCGGGAGGGTGGCTGGCGCGGGCCTGGCCCCGCTCAGGACTTGTTGGCCGAGCCCGAGGAGCGGCGCAGCTTCATGGACATGCGGCTCTTGCTAGTCCGAGGAGACATTGGAGAGGCTAAGTCTGTTCCATCCACCTGTGCTGTTGCTGCTGCTGGAGTTTCTCCCGGCTGAGTCTCTGGGCAGAAGCCTGCAGAGGACAGCAAGAAGCAGAGGGGTCAGTGCCACCCACCCGCACTCCCAGCCAGGGCATCTACTGACAAGGGGCAGAGAGGCATCTCAGTGCTGCTGTCACTCCCACAGCGTCTCCTAGCCCGTTACCAGCTGTGGGTGGTGGTACTGCAGGTGGAGCTAGCCCACAAACCCACCTCTAGAGAAAAGATGATGCCAGAAACCACTGAGCTACGGGACTGCAGAACCCCCTTGGCTCTCGGCAACTGAGGGCAGCACTGAAGCGGGCGACGTTCTCCCGCTAACCGGGAGGACAGACACCTCCAGCTCCCTCGCAGGGATGGGGAGTCGTTATTCAAACCACAACCCAGAAGAAACCGGTCTTTAATGAGAACATGAAGGTTAACAGCTCGTGGCGCATGAAGGGAGCTCTAGGAATGCAGCTGAAGAGGTGGAGTGAATCGGGGGCCAACCGGGAGAGTAAAAACATCTTCTCCCATCCCAACTTTAGTCAGTGCCTCAAAAGGCAAATTCCTACAGGGCCCACAAGGCAGAAGCTTGAACAGATCATACTAACTGGATGCACCATACGCTAACGTTTCTTTGTAAAAGGAACAAGATGAATTTGAGATAACGGTACGTCAGTCACTGGCCCAGCGCCCAGAGCTACACCCCAGTGCCCCCGAGTCCTCCCTGCAAGAGGACAAGGCTCTTCCCTTACTAAGAGCCCGGCTCCAAATCTTCTTCCATAGAGATACAAAAGGAAAAGGAGAAAACATGAAATAAAAATTACGTTCTCCTTCCCGTGTACAGAAAATTAACACTATGAACTCCCAGCCACAGAACTAAACTGCATTTTAATTAGCCATTTACAGAGACTGACAGCCTGATTGAGCTCAATTACCTCCGTTGCCACTGATCGCTTCTGACCCGTGTAAATTATGGACAGAAGCTCAGTCCTGCAGAAGCCATTGGGGAAACCCCTGCTGACTTCAGTAAGCCAGAATATCACTTGCTATTTCTTCCACATCATGCTATTACCGGCAATTCTTTAAAATAATAATGCAATAATCAGAACTGAAGATCTCTCTCCCTCAGTATACATTTCATATATAAGGGTGCAAAAAACCATTCAAAACCGATAATGATTTTTCTATTTTTTTTGAAAGACTCCTCTAAAATAAAATTAGGTCATGAGGTAAGAACTGTAAGAGTACTTTCAAAACGTATTGTCATAAAGCTCAGTGATTTAGTGACCTGGCTGTCCTCCTCGCCTGGTCCATCACCTGCCCGCTCCAGAGAGACGGCGCGGTGCTTTCTATCTTTTCCAAACTGCCACGACCCGTTGAAGTGACAGGGAGGAGAAAGGGCTGTTATTTGTTCCCCAGCTGGTGACAGTAATTCTGTTCATGAACTAGGTACTTCATTGCCAAACAATCTGGAAAAGCATGATAATGCCCGACTCACTGTGCCTTATAGAAAAAAGCAGGCAGGGAAACATGCACTCCCATTTTCTGAAATTCTATCTTGTTCTAATTTTACAAGGAATTAAAGCATTTCAAATGGTGGAAGTTAGAGAATAGAAAATAACCGTTGTTGTTTTGCACAGCATACCATTCACAGCTAGCGTGAAAGACCTTCCGTTTCAAGCCTTTGCCCTTTACCTTGATGTGGCCAATGCTTTCTAGTGGAGGTTTTGGAAGGAGAAGAAATATCACAGCATTTCTTTCTTTGTTGAGAATGAAGAAGTGATGAGGAAGGAGGAGTGGAAAGAAGTGAGGAAGGGGGGGGAGAAAAGATAAAAGATAACAGGTGTGAGACATGAGACACGAACCGCAGAGATTGAAGGGTATTAACAGATGAGCACAGAAAACGGAATTTCGAATTTCATTATGCAATTGCTGCTCATGCTACAGGTTAAAGAGAGTGATGAGTTAGTTATGTGCAATGAAGCAACAGCTCTGAAATCCAGCGTCATACTTACCAACTAAGCATTACAAGAAAAAAAGGAAAAGAGAGAGAAAGAAAAGAATTCTATAACATTATAGAGATCCAGCAACCTTATTCACAGCAACTGAGATACATCCTAAACATTATCTGAAACACTGTCTTAAAGTCTGTGAAAACAGTTAAATACTCACACACATACACACAATCGAGAGGGAAAAACAAATGGCAACTTGATATATGGCTTCTGTTCCCCAGTTCTTTCACAGTACTAAGTATGCTAAAATTATAGCCAGTCTTAACCTGAGACTCCCGAAATCACATAATGCAGAAAAAAATGGAGTATTTAAGCTATTTAGTCTGTATCAGTGTGTCAAACTCTAGTGTGAAATTTTATCGTGGGTTGGGTGAAGAAAACATTAAAACACCCCGTTATTCCAATTAAGGTATTATTCCAGTCCGAGCTTAAAATTTTGTTTCTAATTCTTGCAGACAGAAGCACAGATTCCCGTGCAATCCTCATCCTTTTTTTTTTTTTTTCCAGGAAACTGACTTAGAGCTACTGAAGAACAGAAGTCATGTAAAGTGATACTCACATCTGAACATATCACACCAGAAGAGTGAAGAATAATGGCACTTAAAATATATTTAAAGTCTCACAGCAATCAACAGGCTGATTAGTAACTCAAATTCTGTGGATTTCAGATAAGCATATATATCTATATATACACACATACGCACACACATACATGTGGATACTAAATGTGGTATATAGAAATTTTGCAGGTTTTACCCTTCACAATTTTAAAATTTTCAGTGTAAACTGTTATTATCTTTATCTCTCTACACACTGAAATATTTAGTCATCCAAAATACAAGAATTGGATTAAATAAGAAGGCTTTATTGACAATTGACCTACAACCAGAAAGTTCTAAAAAATAAACAAAATAGATGTGTTAGGATTTTTAAGAGGTTGAAAAATGTCAGGAAGTGATCCATATTTTTCATCTCTTAGGCTTGACAAGTGACAAATATCATAGCCTGATGAGCTATGATATTTTGGGCCATAATGTAGAGCCGTTTCAATTGCTTCTGAACAAGGAGGTGGATCAACAAAGTTGAAATGCGACATTTTCACACTCCGTTTGAAATTTGAAAATTTTAGGATCGTCTAATAATAGTATGTTGGTTATTTGGCTCAGAAATTAACTATTTAAATGTAAAAAGGAATCCTAACTGCACACAGACTGAGTTAGAAGTGAGGTGAGGTGGAGGAACCTGGAGGAACTGTAACACATGTGTTGACATGACTCATCTCGTTCGTCAGTTCTGACTTTCAAAGAGGTGAAAAATTGGGCCGAGCAGAAGCCTGAGGGGGTGCTGATGTTCAGACAGGGTGCCACACAGTATGGCCACTCTCAGTACCTCCAGCTTTGTCACACCTTGTTGTCTGGATCAACATTTTCTCAAGTGCCATCTCTCAGAATGACACTTGCATGTAGGTAAATTTTGATGGCCTTTTAAGGTACTTCAGCCTCCCCGCCTGACCTCCAGGAAAGAGGGCAATTGTTTTTGTACAGCTTGTGCCCTTTGCAACTCTTATGAACCCCAGTCCAAATCCAGCCGAGCTGTCCATCGTGCTCAGCAGAGCTTTGCTAGAGTCAAGGAATTAAGTCTTTCACTAATTTTAGGAAATGAGGAAATGAAACGAGAAGCGGATGCAGAGAGAAAGACTGCAAAAGCAGCTGCAAAGCAGGATGAGAAGGTGAGGAAGAGATGGTGAGTGGCCTAAAGACTTGTGAGACTGGAACTAGGTAGGAGACAAAGAAACAAGAGCCAGCCATGAGAAAGAACACAGCAAAAAAGATTAAGTTCATGGCAGAAGAGTGGCAGAGTCCGTGTCCAGTGACGAATGCTCTTCAGAGCCTGGCCAGAAACATCCTGAGTAAACCTGCTCCTCCCTGTCATCTAATATCTGTGAAACCCACTGGCAAAACTCCCAATCTTTCCACCAGTGGAGATTCAGACAGAGATAACACAGTTTACCATTACTACCAATCACTGCCCTGTCTCAGTCTGCAGGAGCAGGTGGTGCATCTAGAGGTTACAGTTTTGCTCAGGAATCACATGGCTGTTAAATCTGTATTACAGAATTTTTATCTTTTGCCCGATGCCTTAAAATAAAAATGGAAGGAATTACAAAAGGAAAACTTTGTCACAAGACAATAAATTTATAAAGTCAAACATTCAAAAACTAGAAAATGTCAAAAACTGGGAAATACTATGACTAGGGTTGAGAGGCCTCATCTTCATAAGGTTTACTATATCGAGGTACTAGTTTCAGTAGGAAGAGAGAAAAAAATAAAGTAGAGAAAAACCAAACCCAAGATATCAGTACAATTTAAAGCTCAGAATCTTAGCATCACGGGGTCAATAAGCCCTTCAATATCATTGAGCTTACCATTGACAGTTCCCTCAACCTATTCTGGTGTCACAGAAATCTGGTGTACTCAATAGCCATCCAGCAGGAGTTACTCTGTTTAACCAACGTCAGCGCAAAGTAAAAAATAGAGGCGACTGAATTATATTCTGTGATTAAGTGCAGGTAAATCTCAATTTTTTGTAAATGTACACATCCACTACACTAATCAGGTTCCTACACATGGGAAAGAGGACTTGTCAGATATTTTGACAGGTCAGACTGTTTTATCTAGATAAAACAGCAGCAGCCACAATCACACTGTATTGAAGAGCAACCACTCTAAGGAAGGAAACAGCTTTTGCTGAGGGCTGAGCCTTTGATAAAATAAGTCAGTCTGAGGAAACAGAGTTTGTTACCCAATGGCATGTTCTCTATTTGCTCTGATTATCATAGCTCAAAGGGAAAAGATGGCATGCTGAAACCAGCCAACGGGATCATAACAACAATAAAACATTACAACACCTGGTGATGGGCTTCACCAGTTCTATACATCTTCCTTAGAAGAGGAGATTGTATACAGTACCTTATAAAATTAAACATACACAAAAATTGTAATCTTGGAGATCACGACCCAATTAAGGAATCAAGTCTAGAATATCCAAAATGTGGAAAACTTTTCTACTCTCTTCTGATAAGTTATTTTTCATTAAAAAGAACACAAATGAAATATTTTGTATTTAAAAAAAAAAAAAAGAACTGTGATGTATTTTTAGAAGATGATCAGAAATTTTCAGATGACATGGAAAGGTCTGGCAGGGAGCCTGCAAGGTTTTGTCTGAGTCATCTTGGGGGTGACAAATGTGTGTGGTTTCCCAGGCAGGACTCCAGTGTCACTCCTATGTACAGTCCTGGCACAGTTCAGAGCTCTTCGCTTATCTTTCAAAAAAATACACCTGTTGTAGGGACCTCTGGAATCACAGAGGTATGTAGTCTTTTTTAATAGTCTACCTGGTGGCCTCTTTCCTAGGATCATGGTCCATCAAAGTTCTGGGTCATCTGTAGCCACCTCGCTAACAGGTCTGCCTTTGCTAGGACTGGAAACCATTGGTTTCCAGGCTAACCCCAAGCCCTGGGGTAACTTTTTGGTAGATGATGGCAGTGTTAACTTATACCTGCCTTGGGCTTTAGAATTTGTGTGCCCCAGAGTCAGCTTGGAGGCACATGGTGTGGTGCTACTCCAGGCACTGCACTGCTGCTGAGTATCAGAGCCCCAGATGGAAGAGGGGTCAGCCCCCAGGGTGCAGGCAGGACTGCCAGGACATCCCTGGGCTGAAATGAAAGCTCAGAATCAGGCAGGTCTGGGGACAGTTCGTTGGACTCCGACGCTGGGTCGCACTGTGCTGCATGTCCACCCTAGGAAGCTCCTGGCTGCTCCCGACACTGATGTGTTGGCCGGTTCCAGCACACAGCACAGGGTCAGCAGAATGTGGCCCTCAGGACAGGACATCACGTTTCACGGTACGCAAACACACACGCGCACACACGCAGGTGTGAAATACATCACAAGCTCCTGCCAATGAGATCCCCGCAGAAAGTTATTCCATTTGATAGAAGGCTTAAGTCTAAAATCAAGTTTCTAAAAGTCATAATTTTTTTCCCAAGTCATGCTAGAGAACACAAAGAAAGACTAGGACCACTTTTAAAGGAATACAGGAATTGCCACTGTAGAGCAGTGTTCTCCAACACACCAAACTAGTACAGAAAAGCAGCTTTGCTTCACCCCGAAAGAATGAACTAGAGGAAGAGGGCCTGGAATGAGACTTCTGAAAGTGAGGAGGCAGAACTGATACAAGTGCACTAGAACACATAATATACGCTAGCCATACATCAGTGTCTGGTGGCAAATACTTGCTGTGCGCATTAGGAAGGAAATGTGGCAAGGACCCGTACCCCTGGTTATTGTTTTTAATGTTTCTAGTTACAGATTTTTCCCTATTCAAATGTTTTAATACATTAAATTCTGTTACTATTTTTTTATATTGATTTAATTAGTTTTAGATTACTTACACTTCTAATTTAGTTTCTCTTTGGTCTTGACTATTTGCACGAGCATAACTATGCCACTTATACTTTGAAACTGCATCTTATTTCTACTTATGGTTTATAAGCAAAGGAGTCTCAATGTTTTAACATTTTAAAGTCATTCTTTCTGTAGTCCTATCACAACTCTTCCATAATTTTAAATGTATTTCTGCATACTTTTGCAATTAAGAAACAAATTTTGAGATATCCACTTGCCAAATTAATTTATTCTTACAAAATTTATTTTATTTAGATTTACAGCTCTTCCACAGAAGCATTTTTATTTGTTCGGCATTAAATAAAGGTTTCTGAACAAGGAATTTCAAGTGTTACACATTCTTCTTCTCCTTCTCTCCTACGTTATCACTGCAGAATGTCTTACAACATCAATGAAAGACAGTACAGGGTACAAAACACACCACTGCCATCCAGTACTACTTGTTCATGCTGAGAAACAAAGGTCAACACAATAAAGTGTTACTCATTCAACGACTGTCTCTACCATTAGTTACCTTAATCCCAGAACCCGTGTTAGTGCTTCATGCAGACCTGAGGTTAGTAAAAGACTAAAACTTTAAGAAGATGTAGTGGTCATTTCTCAATCAGTGTGAAATTCTTTTTAGTGTGAACAAGGGCAACAAGGAAAGTTTGCATACAATTTGGTTACAAGCTTAGTGCTCTAGTAAAAGTAAGAGGAACAAAGGGGTTTTTTGGACACTTTGTCTTACCTTCAGATAAACAGAACTGATATTTAATGATCTAAAAAGAGGGGAAATAAAATAATGAAATAATCATAAGGAGTTCAAGAAATTTCAGAACAGGAAGGCCTTGAGTTACTCATTTTCTTTTACCGATTTTCTCATTAGTAACTGAAAATGCAGTATCCTCTTATAAAACAGATATTTTACTGGAAAACAAAAATGACCTTAAAACCAGTTTTGCAGATAATAACCTGGAAACAAAATTGATGATTGCAAGGATCTCAGGTTTGCAATTTAAAACTTTACATTCTAAAAATGTAGTGAGCTGTAAAAGTTTCTTATAGGGAAGGTGTACTTAGATTATAGAATGGATCTACCTTAACCAGCCTGGATGAAGGAGAACCAACGCTTCCATGGAGACTTTATGCAGGGGAACACAATAAAATTTACTGTAAAAATACAAGGTCTGGTTGCTATATTAAAGTAGCCAAATCTTAATGCCAGGCAACAGAATAAAGCTTTAAAATTTTGCCCAGATTCTCAAATTTATACATATAGTCTTTCAGACTAATAGAAACGCTTAATGATGGGTGAAGATCTGAATTTTTAGTCTTTATAAGTAAGGATACTGCATTTCAAATAAGATTGTAAAAAAAACCAGTTCTTTACTGTAATTCTTACCTGTCTCTGAGGGCAAATGGTGGTAAGGTGCTGGACAGAAAACCTGAGCAGCAAAATCCTCAAAAGTTGTAGGCTCTAGATGATGTTGAACAATTGTTTGCAGGTATCGTGCTCTCTCCTCGTAACTGGTTTAGCCAAGAGTTAAGGAACAATTTACATCATGTACTAGAACTGCTAACTATCAGTGTAGTAATTAAAAATTCTTGTTTTGTTTAATACAATATGATGTATTTCAGTGATTGTACACACTTGTTTTTAATTCTTTACGTAACTATGACATCATCTGATGCACTGAAGTAATATTAACTGAAGGATATACACAATTAATGTAAACTTTATGGTTCAACTAAATTTTTTTCATGTGTGACGCAAAATTTTCTGAAAATTTTTTCGAACAACAGCAACTTAAATTCTCTCCTTTAAGTAACTCATTTGGCTGTACTCTGCTCACAAATAAACATAAAAATGCTACAATTTTTAAGATGTATAGAATGAAAAATAACGTTAGCATTAACAAAACGCACTCTTCCACAACAAACTGCTTCCATAATCCCTAAATACATACACACACAGTTAAGATAAACACATAGCAAAATTTGAGTATTGGGAAAAACACCTCCTCAATTATGCCGTTAAAACAAGCAAGAGTATTTGCAAAGAGTCCACAGGACCCTTAAATACTGGCTAACAGAGTGTCGGCAGGGCACTGACAGCAAAATACTGTACTTCTTCCTTTTCCCCGTGTTCTCCCTCTCTGATATTATTGACAAGAGCCCGGTATCTTGAAGTGTTGTTGCTTTTGAAGAACCCTCTCCAGGCTTCTTGTTCCAGCAGGCCTGATTGTGCTGTTAGCACAGAGAGAGCGAGAAAAAGAGAGAATATTTCTGCTGTTCATGAAAGCAACTATGGAAATGGCTGTCAAAATGTAGAGCAGCAGGCAGCAACATACAATTATCAAGAAAAACTACCATGCTGACTTCATGTCGTATAGTTCCTGAACTGAGAAATCGGTTAACCTTTTCTCTCACAACTTTCAAACTCCTCCAGCTGGATTCAATATGTTGAATGAGGGAGACCTTCTTCAGTTACCTTATAGAACCATAAAATGATAAGAAATTTTTCCTGGCATTTATGCTTCTGCACACTTTTTTTTTTTTTCGTATTTCATTTGCAGATAGGGAGACAATTTTCTTCTTACATAGGTCTGTTTTCTTTTCCTAAAAAAACCCCAAACGAATCAGGATGCTGTGGAGGAATGCACCGAGAATCAGTTTCTTGAAGATTCTTGGTTCTGATTTCAAGACTCCTGCTCTTTTTGGGGAGGACAGGAGCAGTGAGGAAATTACCTTTCTGACCTAATATCACCATCTGTGAAATGGGGATAATATTAATTTTCCCCAGATTTTTAGCAATCTAAACATAAAAAATGCATTACAAGTGATAAGCATTTTTAATAACGAGTGCTAACATAATAAATAAATAACGATGCTACTTTCAGTTATGAAAAGCAATAAAATTCTCAGCCCCAATTTACAGCTGGAAACATCTTAGCTTTTAAAACTATACTTCAACAATTAGAACTTTTCCTATGAAACCTTTTTGTAGTTGTTTTCAGTACAATATTTACAGTAGGATTTTGCATTATATCTAAATATGAAAAAATGTATAGTGACTATATTATCTGAAAACAGCTTCTAGTGAATAAACTGATCTTTATAGAACTTCCTTAGACCACAACTTGGTTACACAGCGCAACTGGGAAACAATTTTCCCTCCAAAATCCACCTTCCAAATTCTCCACAGAACTCTTGGGCTGGAGAAGCTATAATAGAAGCACGGGGACAAGAGAAAATATAAAAATCTCCCATTGTAATGGTTCTTAGGTTGGGGGATAAACATAGTATTGAGCCTTAACAGAGGAGAGTAATATAGCACAGTTTTTAAGAGGCTATGTATAAGTGGTAGAGGATGAAACTGATGGTTGAAGTCTAAATAATACTACGTATCTCACAACTTGTTGAAAAGCACTTTTTTCATTGGGGGAGATTCACAGCTGCTGAATTTTCTGCAGTTAATAGAGTCCTTTGATTCACAGCAGTGCCCCTTGCACAAAAAATACTGGCCTTTGTGTATTACCAGAAACTAATTTTCTATTTGGCTGAAAAGGGAAAAATGGGGTTATTGCTTCTCCCTCCTACAGAGCTTTTCATTATGCCTGATGCACTCAACTTCTAAGCTCTTCTGAGAAAAAAAAATAACTGAAGAGGCAAGAGGTAGAAAAATGAGCTTGTTAGCACATTAGAAGTGAAGTATCTTGGTGGGCCCTAGAAATTCCCAGTGGTGTGTTAACTTATCACTCTATGCATGCTGGCACTGATAGTCTCCCAATTGATCACTCTCTTTTCGCACCAAAGGTGCTGCCAGGAAGCAAAGGCTGAAGGCCCACAGGAGAACAGGCTGCTATCAAAACAAGCTGTTTTAAAAAGTCTGCTTGAATGGGTAAAATGTTTCATGAAAAAGTAGGGTGGAGACACCTACCTGCTTTTAAAATGCTCTACTTTCAGAGGTCTCTAAATGAAACCTTTTAGTTTATCCTATTATATCCAAAGCTTATACACAAATAAGGCTAAAATGAAGGAAAGTTACTGCTTTGAACATGTCAAGAACATTCCCGTTCTCCAATCTAGGTACCTATCTCCTAACCAAATAAAGAAGTCTCGACACAGATGCTGACTGAGGAGGATAATGATGTTTTCATTGCACAGTGGAGAGGACATGCTTGTATCACTTCTAGAAGCCTAATTCAAATGCACACTTAGTACACCCAAAGAAAAATAATTCAACTAGCCAGGTTGCCATTCATCCTAACAACCCACAAAACCACCTGCAGCTTGTTAAAAACAGAACCTCGCTTAAAAACAAAACAAAAACGTGATGCAAACGCCTAGTCCAAAGCTTGGTGTATTCTGCACTAAGAAATGACACATTCTCCTCAGAACTCCTCTTCTGCATTACAGACTGAGTAGCTGGATTGGGACACTTCTATCTTCTATTCTCATAGACTTTGAGAACATTCTAGTATTTTAAAACTCAAAATCTGTATGCTTTTGTGGCTGATATAATCTAGTTCTATGCTATATTTGAATGGAACTATGTGCAAGTGACCATAAATTCACGGTAGTTAATTTCTACATTACTTCTAATAGGCTAGACATTTCTTTCTTTAAAATGCTGCTCTCTAGGGAAGAGTTATTAGCACCTACAAATTGAGTGGCACATACAAACTCAATGGCTAGTAATAACAGGGCAATGCAAGCTGTATTCTTACTGAGAGTGGATGTTGCCACTGGCATCAGCAATTAAGATGGAATGGGAAGGATGCACAGACAAACCAATGGAGAAAGACTCTGTCACAGAGAATGACTAAACATTTAAACAACAGTGTTGGGAGCTTTCTGCTTCTGAAGAAGGTGCTAACTGCAACAAAAGAGAATGGATAAAAAGGTAAGATATACATTAATTATGCAGGCAGTCACCCAAATTTGTCAGCTAAAAGCTTGCAGATATATAATCCACAAGAACTGTAACGAAAAATCTAATAACTTCATTATACTTTTTCAGAAGATGTTTTTCTGAAAAACACAATCAATACAAGAAATAGGTCACTCAGGTTGTAGTCACTTCAGCTAAAATTTCATTTGCATTACAATCCATTTTACTTATTCTCTAAATCTGCAATTATTTCTATTAATACTGAAAATACTCTACTTTCCATTATTACTTTAAACATGTAATTTTTTTAGACCTGTTGATTTGCACTTGGGAACAAGCACTGAAATCCTGGCTGTGAGATCACCTACTTATGCTTAATCTGCCTGAAAACACACATCTCATGTCTTCACCTAATGGGTCGCCATCACTGTTGATAGCATCACTTTATCTTTTAACTCAAGCTCTGTTTAGATTCCTATAGCAGAATACATCTACATCTTGCAGATGCTTTTTGCATAATAATGCATTTGCATAATCTAAAATTTTTTCTGGACATCTACATGAATAAATTATCTAGGGTCTTACTTCACATCTCAGTTACTCCCATATTTTTTTCTTTGACCTCAGTAAATGAATTTTATTTGTATTCCTGCCTGTATCTACTGAAAGCATTACAGAGCCCACTTTCTGAACATCCTGCTTAGATGTGGCATTCTCTTCTGATACCACCATCAGTCTGCCACTCCCTAGCACAAAGGCAGGCTACTTTTTTTAACTTCATAGTCCATACCCGTTTGATCAATTTTATCAAAACTACTCTTGCCTCCAGTCAAGAGTATACAGACAGTCACACTCATGTTAACATTTTTAGACAGGTACTTTTGTACTTTCCTTCATGTGGCTTCTTATGTCTAGCACCAGCTCTCCATAAGGGTCCTCCAAACAATCCCTCTTCAAACTCTCCCCTTTGTTATGAAGCTAATCTAAAAAGAAACAAGGAAAATACCTTGGAAGACTTAAGTCCCTTGCTGTGTAGGGCACACAACTATTCACACTGTTTACTGTTTCACATTTCCCTGAATTTTTTATCTGACTTTATCTGTTGTCTTCAGTTTTGTATTTGGCTTTTTGACTTCCTGGGGACAAACAACATCTGTCTTGCGCTGTTCTCCATCTCAGTGTAATGAGACTGGGTCTATGCTAAGGATATATATGTGCCAAGATAGTACAATTCTCCTCCTTGCACCTTCATCCACTATTGTAATCTTTTTGCTTTATATCCAAAACAATTCTGTCACATTGCTTTTTTTTTTTTTTTTTTTTAATCCATGGCTTTGTCATCCTTCAATTTGGTGAGGAGATGTTTGCTACATTTTCCTACATCTCTAGTTTAGTATTTACTTTTCCTTTTCTGTAATTTTAACCATTCAATCTCCACAAAATCCTGTACTTCCCACTATTCAGCCTCTTCTGCTGTCTTCATCTTTCAAGTCCTTCTGTTGAATTCATCTCCTCACAGTCACTCTCACGGATTCATTGTGTCATTCTGACTGAACGTTTTCTTTCCATTCTTCTTACTCACAGCTCTCTCAGATGTTAGAATAAACTCTGCCTGTAAGTTTTTGAACTGAAT